GCTCTGGCTGGAGACATCTCACCCAGTCGTTGAAGAGCCACGGTTGGACCCTGCGAGGAATCATGGAGCCATTGAGGTTGGAAAAGACCTTTAACATCATCACGTCCAACCATTAACCTGGCATTGCCAAGGCCACCACTAAACCATGTCCCCAGCTGCCACATCTACACATCTTTTACACACCTCCAGGGACGGTGACTCCAGCACTGCCCTGCGCAGCCTGTTCCAATCCCTGAGCACCCTCTGGGGAAGGAATTGTTCCTCAGCTCCATCTAAACCTGCCCTGGGGCAGCTTGAGGCCGTTTCCTCTCGTCCCATCCCTTGTTCCTTGGGAGAAGACACCAGCCCCACCTCACTACAACCTCATGGCAGGTAGTTGTAGGGACTGGTGAGGTTTCCATGATATGCCACGGTGTTCCCACTGAGCAGTGACTGACAGCTCCTCCTGTTTGTTGCCCATGTTACATGCATTGGTGCAGATGAACTTCGGTTGGTCTATCAATCCCACCACCTTTTCAGAGGTCACTCCTATGTGACCATCCCAGGTGCTTCCATGGTTTCTAACACATCAATGTTAGATTGGGATGGATCACATGGATCTCAGTCCCCTATCTCCGCCAAACAGCAGACCTCAGGACCTCATTAACACACCATCTCAAACACTGCCATGCTGCCCCCAGGCTTATCCCAAGGAAACCTGGTTTTCTCCCTTTCTCCCTTCAAATTTAGTTTAAAGCTCTTTCAATGAGCCCTGCTGACTCCTGGACAAAGATCCTCTTCCCTCTTTGACACACGTGTACCTCATCTATCACCATGTAAACCAACCCATCGTCAAAAAAACCCCACCCCCAAAATCCTGCTGGTGACACCATGGAGGAGGCAGCTTTCCATAGAATCACAGAATGGGACCTCCAAAGCTCACCTAGTCCAGCCCCTCTGCAATGAGCAGGGACATCTTCAAGGAGATCAGGTTGCTCAGAACCACAGTAGCCCTCAGTGTCTCCAGGGATCAGGCATCCACCACCTCCCTGGGCAGCCTGTGCCAGGGTTTCACCACCCTCATTATAAAGAGTCTCTTCCTCACATCCAGCCTCAATCTCCCTCTTTTAGTTTCAAACCATCACCCCTTGTCCTATCACAACAGGCCCTGCTAAAAAGGTCTCTCCCCATCTTTCTTGTAGACTCCTTTGAAGTATTAAAAGGCCACAATAAGGTCTCCCTGGGGCCTTCTCTTCTCCAGGCTGAAGAACCCCAACTCTCTCAGCCTTCCCTCACAGGTGAAGTGCTCCAGTCCCTCCACCGTGTCCACGTCTCTCTTGCCCCGAGGACCCCAGAACACGACGGTCCTCTCGTCATGGTCTCCCCAGCGCTGAGTAACTGGGAGAATCATCTCCCTCCACCTACTGGCAGCACGTTGTCAGAACACAGCCCAGGGCACTACTCACCTCCTGTGCAGCAAGGACACGGTGCTGGTTCGGTCAACCTGGCGTCCACAGGACCCCCAGACCAAGCCCCATCCCAGCTGGGTGCCTGGGGTTGCTCTGACCCAGCATCAGGGCTGTGAAGTTCATGTAGAAAGAGAGGGGCTTCCAACCACCAATTCTGCCCAAGGTGCTGGTTGGAGGTCACAGGGCAGGTTCTGGGCTCCTTCCAGCCCCACTGGTACCAAAGTTGCCCCAAAAATGGAAAGGCTGGAGCCCTCAGGGCTCACCCTGGCTCTTGTGTGCTCAGGACATGATGCCAGCCCCTCTTGGTGGCGAGGAAAGACTCCTACAACCAAGGAACATCAAGGGCTGCTGCTAGAACGGTCCCCAGGGCCAGCATCGCTCCTGGAGAAGACAAGGGTGATGATCCAAGCAGGGGAGAAACCCAGTGCCAGCTCTCAAAGAGTGGGCACAGCTCAGGCAGCTCTTTCCCACCCCTCCCAGTGATTTTGGGTGGAAAAAGGAGCAGCCCAGGGAGTGCAGAGATCTCAGTGCTTTATTGTGACGGCTCAAGCAGGCAGGAGCACCAGTTCCTTGCTGCACAGGGACACCATGGGAGAGGAGCCCTGGGCTCTGGGTCCACCCCACGCTGGGCAGGTCATCGTGTGAGCTGCTGGAGGAGGTTTCATCCCAGTCACTCCCTGCTCCTCTCTCCGCAGCTGCTCTGGGTGGTCCAGGACTAGGGTGGCACGGCCACACTGACACTGCTCTCTGCCTCCCCTGTGGCTGCAGAGCTCCCGTCTTCCTCCTCCTCTCTGTCTGGCAGCAGCTCCAAAAAGCTGGAACCTTGTTGGGGCTGAGATCCAGAGGTTTGGTCCTCCTCTGGGCTACAGCCCAACTCTGCAGGCAGATGGAGAGAGGGAATGGTGAGGAGCTGGCAGAGCGCAGCCTCCATCCTCTGCTGGAGGAACACATGTGGCACCTGTGGGGATCAGCTCTGCCTTCCAGAAACCTGGATCACATACAGATCCCAGCCCTGCAGATGCAGATCCCATCCTGTGGGATGTGCCCATCCCAAGGCTGCATTAGAGATTGCCCCTCAGGGATAAGGATGGGGGGACTGAAGCCAGCCCGGAGCAGAAATGCCACCGTGGGGACGTGGCTGGGTGGTTAGTGGAGAGGGAAGTAGCTCACTTGGGGACAGCAAAGCAGAGCAAATGGGGTGCACTGGGGAGAACACTTCAAGGGCCATCACCTTCCTCATCCTGATCCTCCGACACTTTCCTGTCCGGGCTCTGGGAGAGCAGGGTCAGCCTGTTGAGGGCCAGCAGGGCTTTGCCTGTTTTCTGGAGAAGAGCAGGAGCACTGAGCCCCACCACGAGGTCCATCCCCATCCCCACGTCCTCACCACCCCTCCGGGTACCTGCCACTTCCGACGCGTCAGGAACTGCTTGATCCTCTCCTTGGGCAGCACCTTCGTGCTGCAGGGCTGGGGCTGCTGCAGCCAGGGGTGCAGTAGGGCCCCTGCACTGGAGAGCCGGCGCCTGGGGGCACATGGGGCAGTCACAAGGGGACCTTCAGCTGCTGGCATGGCCCCTCCACCAACAACATGCAGTGCTTTCCCCTGCCCATCCCCTTGGCACCCCAAAACCCAACCCAGCTCAGCACCCCCCAGGTCCTACCGGGGGTCCTTCTGCAGCAGTTGGCTGATGAAGTCCTTGGCTTGCTGGGAGATCTCCGAGAAGGTTTCCTCCTCAAAGTCCCACTTGGCAGCTGTGATGTTGCTCAGTGTCTCCATGTCATTGTCCCCCTGGAAGGGGGACTCCCCACTCAGCCTGGAGAGGTGGCACAGGACATCAGGGACAGCCCAGCCCTGTCCATCCCAACCTGCTGTTCCCAAGAAGCCACTCACAGGATGTAGCAGATGACACCAACGCTCCACATGTCTGTGGAGAAGCCCACAGGCTCAAAGGCGACCACTTCTGGAGCCATGAACTCAGGGGTGCCGTGCAACACCTTCACGGGGGTGTCTGGAGCTGCAGAGAAGATGCATGGGGCAGGTTTCCAGCTGGGATCTCCCCAGGGCAGCCCAGCTACACACCAACACATGCTGGGGGGATGCCACCTTCCAGGACGCGTTGCAGGTCTTGGTGCTCTCCTAGAGCATCTCTGGGTGCTGGGCACCCACAGGCACAGGGGTCTTGGTGGCCTCCACATCAGAAGTGGGGCTGGGGACATGCAGGTTTCCCCAGAGCATCTTGTGGTCACCAGGAAGGGCCCTGACCTGGTGCCAGAGGGTGTTGCCTGTCCCAAAGGCAGGAGGATGCCAAGCTCCTCGCTGATGTGCCCAGCCAGACCGGGTCCCTGCGATGGTGACAGTCCCTGCCCTGGTCCCCCAGACCCCTCGTTCTTCTCACCCAGCTTCCGCGCTAAACCGAAGTCAATGATCTTGAGCCAGTGGCTGCTGGGGCTGACGCAGACGATGTTCTCGGGTTTGAGGTCGAGGTGGACGATGGCCTGACCGTGCATGAACCGCAGCCCCTCCAGGATCTGCCGCAGGTACTGGGTGCTGCTGGGCTCCGTGTGCTCGAAGTCATCGTCCACGATGCGCTCAAAGAGCTCCCCACCCGCCACGCTGAGGGAGGACAAGGACCTGGTGGGGGCCACCAGCCCAAAGAGAAGCCCCACTGGGGAGGATCTCATTACCCTTCTCTCCAGGGGCTGCAGGTTTCGCACCCACCCATG